TATATATATATATATATATATATACTTATATATACATATATTAATTTACCGCATATTGCATTCAATGTTTGAGTACTGACAAAGGACGCTAAGTCATTAACAGATCCATTAATATCTTTTAAAGATTTTATCATATGATTTCCTTCATTAATTAGAATTTCAACAAATTGTTTCAATATATTGAAATGAAATGTAGGTGTTAATATCTTTCGCCTTTTGTGCCATTTGATTCCTGTAACAAAATAGATAATTTGTAGCATTAAAATTTGCTTTGCATACTTTGCCAAGTTTTCTTTTATTCAATTTAATACGACAAAAAAATTATATTTTTTTTATACCGCAGGTTTAAAAAAATTGTACGTATGCTATTGTTTCTTTATCTAAAAATAACAATATTTAATTTTCTTTCATACGATTTTTTAAGGGGATCCTAAAGTCGTCTGTATTACCGATTAAATCATATAATTTTCGTATCGTGAATACTTTTTTTGTCATTCACAGAATCGAAAATCCTTTTCCAGGATTAAAGTATATACGTATTAATACATGTCTGTGAGGTAGAATTTACCGAGACACTACTCTGTCTCCAGATGCTGAAAATACCAAAAAATTTCAAAATTTCAAAATTCTATTTTACCATTTCATAGTCCAGTGGCGCTCCAGAGCTGTCACATTGTGGCACATTGTGACAATATTTACTTCATATAAAATTATAGAATGCGATCTGTACTTACGAAATAGTAGTCCGTGAGTAGGCACGTGAACACTAGTTTGCATGAAGAAATAGCGTGAGTTTCTTAAAATTGGATTTAGATGTCTAACTAAACATTATTACGATACGAAAATGTATATATATATATGTGGCATGAGTGAGTGAGATATTGATGTAGTAATGTGTCAATGACACGTAATCTAAGCGTATAAGTGCTATTTCCAATATGATTAATCGTCTTTAGGATTTCCTTAATTCTTATTTTATTTTGATAGATATTATCTTTTTACATTTTATTATTATTAACTTCAATATTTTACATTCATTTATAAATATTAATAATATTAAATATACATATTTATATTTTTGTTATATATTAATAATTATAAAGAATACGATAATAATAAAAAAACAAGCGCGAAGTTGTACGTAATCTTTTAGGTAAACTTAATTTAGTACTTTTTATATTGCAAAATAAGAAATTTGCTATTTTTTTATGATACCTTCGCTAGTAAGCAATCCAGTTCCTAACCAAGGAACTAAAGAATTATATATGTAGCCTTTTGAAAGATGCTCCTTTGCACTGCCTAATATCTTCTAAAATTCGAATCACACACACATACACAAATTAAATTACATTTCGTTTCATAGACACACTTAGAAATTGAGATAAACGCAATATCAAGACTCCTTCACTTTACCAGATAGACTTGCTTGTGTTGATTACAGCGGAGTGCATTTATATTGAAAAGCTGCGTTCTTAATCTTTACCTATTGGATAATCAAGTTGGTATGTTCTTTTGTATCATTAATTTCATTATTTTCAACGCTAATGATGGTCCAAAAATAGGACCGAAACGTTCAGAACTGTAGAGTACACGATTATTACACCGCATTTTATAAATATTAGTTATTAGTAATTTTGTTATATGCACCAACTACAGCGTTGACTCTTTATTGCCCATTATTATACTTATTCTTTATATTAGAATCTTATATAGATTAAAAGGGCCCTCAATTCATTTTAAATCTTTGATCTCAATTTATTCTTAATTTGTCTTCTAATATTTCTTTTACCTCTAAATCATCTGGATGATGAATGCTAACGAAAGCAATTGGACCGCACCAAAGTTTATAAATCGGATAATAAGTTTTACCAAGTTTACGTTGAAGGTTCCATAGATCTTCTAAAATAAAAATAATGTACAATTTAAAAAAGTAAGTGACAAATTTCAGATTATTGGATGATTATTTTTGCTTGCGTATTAATCAAATTTATATTGATTTTTAACGTCTGCTTTATTTATACGTTTTTAAGAGAATTTATCTACTAAAAAAAAATATATTTTAGATGACTAATTTCTGCGATCTAATTATATTATAATATCAACTTTTTGATATTTAAGTACATTAAACAAAGATAAATTAAAAACTACAATTAATAAATATTTGATTAAAAATAAAAATAGATTTATAACTATAAATATTTCTAATATTCTTTGTATATTGTTCTTACAATTAGTCAAGCATTGCATGATCCAACCGTTAATATATAGCAACTGTTATACTGGGTGCCTCATTTTAAGGAATCTACTCAAATATCTCAAAAACACTACGTTAAATCGAAAAATGTTTCGGACAAAAGTTTTGTGACTTATATGTAAGATGGAATCATTGGTTTCACCTTGGATAGCGTTGTCAAAGTCAGGATATGGTTTGAATTTTTTAAACGGAACCTCTCATTTTTATTGCATATTTTCGTAGCTTACCTCGAGAGCTTTTCAAAACTTTATAATAAAATATTTTTATTATAAACGAAAAGTACTCGATAAAAAATATTTTATTTTAACATTTTGAAAAGCTCTCGAGGTAAGCTACGAAAATATGCAATAAAAAATGAGAGGTTTTGTTTAAAAAATTCAAACCTTACTCTCTGACCTTGACAACGCCATCCAAGATGAAATAAAAACCAATGATACCATCTTATGTCTCTCTCGAAGTCACAAAACTATTGTTTGAAACATTTTTCGATTTAACGCAGTAATTCTGAGATGTTTGAGTAGATTCTTTAAAATGGCAAGTCCTATATTAATAATGTTGTTAATAGACATTTCGTATAAACAAAATAAATGATAATTATTAAAATAAAGATTGTCAAAGGTTTTACTTGCCTTGTGAACACCACAAATCTAGCAAATGACCGAGTAATGGCAATGATGGCATACTTGGTATATTATTAATCTGTCTTACATATTTTGCAAAATAAAAGAGTTTATATAATATTATAAGAAGGATACTCAATAGAAATGTAGTAACAATCATTTTGTATGATTTACAAATATTTTTAATTTTCGTTTCTCTATCTTCTTTTAATATCGTCAACACAAGTTACGTAATATGATATTCTGTAATAAGAAATATATAATATATATAATTTTATTATACTTACATGAAAAGATGAGTTATACATAATTAGAGTAAGATCTAATTATACACGTATAATTAGATCTTACTCTAATTATACACGTATAATGTGTCTCATACATATAAGCTATTATATAACTATTATAACTTTTATATATATATATATATAGAGAGAGAGAGAGAGGGGAAAAAAAGAGGAAAAGAGAGGGAAAAGGACTTTCTAAAGAGATATCCACTTATTTTTCTAAAACTATTTCACTTTATTAATACCGATAAAAACATTTATCTGTTTAAATAATTAAAGAAGCATAAACTCATAATTCATGTATTTGTCGTTTGTTTCTATATAAAATCAACTAAAAACGATCAATTCTATAAAAATGCAAAAATAAAATTATATAATTTAAATAATAGTGAGTATATATTGTTGATAATATTATATCGTTTGACATGTTTGTAATTTTCTAAATGAGTTTTATTTACACATTTTTTCTTTTTCATTTTTTTAATAATACGATTTTAAATATAAAATTAGAGTGCAACGTAACCTGTCTGTAAAGCAGACACCATAAACTAGTTTATATATTGCCTTGTAGTGTCAAATTGCTGTATCGGAATTGAAGACAATCGTTCGTTTATAAGAAAAATCCTTAAAAGGAAAAGCTACGCGTTAAATGTTTGCGTTTTGTAGAAGCATACAGTATGCAAATCAACAAAAAAGATTTTATATTAAAGTGAAAGTGTTCTAGCAAATCTTATATGCATTTACTTGTAGGTATTGGATTCATTTGTAAAGACTCCTGTGAAAGAAAAAAAATTGGAATATATGGCATTATTACCTATTATGCATTCAGTTTTAGAACACATTAGGTCAAATGCTAATTTTTACTTATTTTGTAAAAAAGTTAATTATTACAAAATTGCAAACATTATTGTAAAAACTGCTATATTATCTGATAAAAAAAAGTTTGTAGCTTGTATTTTATGTTACTAAAGTTTTATTTTTAACTTTTTTATAAGAAATATTGTCCAAAGAGAAAGTCATGTGTGTATCGATATTGACCTTGTTCTATATATATATGTATATATATAATTATTATGCTACTTCTCTCATGGGCATGTAAAACGAATTTAACTGAATGAAAAATTATTTATTATTTTGCGAGATTCTCAATAATTAATGAGAAATTGTTAACAAATATTCGCAAACATTAATTTGCTTATGTTTAAATAATTCGACAAGGAATGACAGTTCAACATTTTTGTTTATTGAACGCATTGGAAGAAAGACTCCAACAGCTACATATCAGCGATGCTAAAATCTTTGGTCCCCCCGTTGTCAACATTTTCTAATAAAATAATCTTAAGATATAGAAAATATTATTAATAGAAAAGGAATGAGGACTCTCTATATAAAAATAAACAATAAGAAGACGAGGGCGATATAAGAGTCAAAACTTTAAAATATAAAACGTATAATTAATAACTTCTTTCGATAATTAACTTAAAAAAACATTACTTATTAATACTAAATATACTTAAAAAATATAAAAAATATATATAAATAAGTCTCGTTACAAGTTTCGGTTATCGGATTGAGCCCTCCTCAGACATATTAAAAAACAGCAGTCAAAACAGTCGTTGAAGATAGTTCATACAATACTATTATTTATTATTAAAATATTATTTATTTTCTGTATTATTTCTACTTTATTCATATGTAGTCATTATTGTTTGTAGAGCGCTTTTTCCAATGCTTTTTTCCTATATGCTATATCAATAGAAAACGCTGATCTATCTTTTTCGCTAAATTATGTGACAATGATTTATGAATTCTTATTAATTAATTTCTTATTACTTGTTTAAAAAAACTTGCAAATTAGTAAAACAATTTTCCATTTTGTTTAATATGTTCTATCTAGCTACAAAAGATGGCAAGTTATAATTACAAGAAAATTTGTGTATAATATGATAAAAACAGTATTTATAATATATATTATATATGTAATGTATGTATACATTTGTCATGTTCTGCATAAAATTATCTATTGTTAAATATGATTATAACAATATTATGCAACTTTTTAATTGTAATAATATAGGTATATATTCAATATTTATAGTTATTAAACACTTGATAAAAAAACTATTTACAAATTTTATTTTGTTTAAAATATAATTCTTTATTATTTTATTCTATTGGATTATGAATAAAAATGTTGCATAATTTTTATTAGAATGCTTTATGTGTGAAATAAATATGTGTAGGAGAAATTTACACAAAAAGTTGACAGATATTGAAAGTACAAGATTCTGTTTATAGATCATATAGTTAATTGAAGCATGTGTGCTACTAACGGTACAAAAACAAATATAAAAAAATTTCTTACATGTATTTCTTTTCCTATTTTAATGTATATAAATATGCGATGTATTTCTATAAAACGTTATCATATTTTATAGCAATGTTTACATTCCACAAAGATTCTGTCTAAAAACCGTTTTATTAAAATAATTAAATATCTTATAATTTTGGAGATTATGTTTTACGCGAAGATGTTTATTGATTCACGGTTAAATTAAATTGTAATAACAAGTTTAACTTTTTTCTTTAACAATTCATACTTATATTCTAATAAATTATATAATGAAAAATAAATAACATATAACTTACTTTATTGTATGAAATATTCCTAAGAGTTAATATTTTTTATTGACACTTTTTTTTATTTAAATATTTGTTTATTTTTTTAACTCATTTAAACGTTAATAGAAATTCTTTTAGACACTTATATTACATATGACAACTTAATTTTATAAATTATTAAATAATTCGCGCGTTTATAAAATTATATAAATGATAAAATTTATACTGAGAGAACTTTAGCAAGTGATAATAACTGAATCACTGCTATCACATCTTTGGTTTAAATGGATACAGTAACTTCTTATAAATGCAATTCGATGACTGCTACGTCACGTCTGACAATGAGTGGATTTGAACGAATAAGATATCTCCACGTCACTTCGTTTAATTTAAAGGAGTAAACAAGGACAAATGCTGGCATTGAAGCATGTCTTTCAGCCGTATTTATTACGTCATATGCTGTGTGATTAGTCAGTTATATGACCTGTAGAAAGTTACAGTAATGTAATAGAATTAGATATAAAATTGTATTACGAATACAATCTTAACTATTTAATGAATTCAAGAATAAGTATATACATGTAAAATAACCTTTTACATATTTAACGTGACTCCTGACGTTGTTGCGCTGGAATAATTTTTGTTCATAAATAAAATATTTTCAAATTATTCTTAAGAACATCTGTAAATATGTACTTGGCATATTTCGGTTTGAATAAAAAGTATATATATGCATATATGTAAAACACATAATGTCTTTATGTAATGTCTTATGCGAAGTTAGCATCGCGTATTTTAATTTTTTTAAATTTTTGGCTAAATCAACACATACTATTAATGAAATCTATCAGGAACTCTAGAACTCGCAGGTGCAAGCAGTACTGTTATTAAAATTTCCGATTTTTAAAGTTAAGGTGCTAACTTCACAGAGACATGTCTTATTGTACATTTAAAATATACAGTTTATAAAAATAAGATATATATAATGTGTTTTTTTTCAACATTTTATCTTATATCATTAAATCTGTTTGCTATGAATATCTCTTTATTTTCATATGACTTGGATAAATCTTACACGAACTAAAGAAACAGGATGTGAATCATCAAATTAACCTAATTCAGAGTTCTGTTTATCAATAATCTCTAAAATAGAAATTGTATCAGAATCTTACTAAAAAAGCTGTTTCTACTTTTATCTATGGTAAAGTAAAATGTTGACCTATTAATATATACTATAATCTGTTTATATCAAAAAATAAAAAAATACAGTCATCTAGTGCAGTTACGCGATCTACTATTGAATGGTAAATAATAAATAATGATAACGATTCTGAATCTTCTCAGCCAAAAGTTGAATTAACTCAAATGCCTCTGTATATAACTGGAAATTGAAATCTCTGGAGCTCGTAGATTTTAAGATGCATAACTGTTTCAATAGGTACTAAATAGGTATCTGTTCTTCATCAATAAAATCTTGGAACTATTGTACACCGTGTATAAATTGAAATGAAAGAAATGTATATTTTCACTTTCACTTATATTGCACTGTGTGTACTAGTTTAAAGAGTTTGATAAAGAACAGATAATTATGACTCTTGTTATGTACATTATATGCACAGTACATTTATTTAATAATTTTAAAGATATTTACATAATACACACACACGCACACACACATACGTATATCTCACTAAACAAAAAATCAAGCTTTATATCTGTCGGGGCCGCTTCCGGCTCTAATTGGTTCTTCGCGATCACGCGATTCCGCGACGAATGATGCCTTGTATGTTGCGTTTCCTCGCACTATTTGGTGTGTATTCTAAATAGGTAAAAAATGCTTCTCCGGCGATCGCCAACCTTTCCGCAATCTCCAAGGAACTCGGGGCGTCGCGTCGGTTGTCCTTGCCTGGGTAGATCCATGACTCCACGTCTCTCTACGAGACGTCTACAATGATGATGCAATAATCACAGAGTTTCAAATGACAGCAACATTAATAACATGTATAGAATAATACGACCTGCACGTACCGGGTTCTTTGATGACGCAACAGCCAAGGCTTCAAAGAATTGTTATTCTCTTCTTGGGATACAGAATCTTCTCTCTTCTGCTGGCGGATGAGACGACAAAAATACACAAATATCGCGTAGTCACCGGCTACGATCGCTCGTCGTCGGCAAAATCTAAACTCAGAACTGTCTTAAAAGTAACTGAAAAATAATTAACTGATTACGAGAAATAACAATTAGCGCACGCTCGCTTGTGCGCTCACTCTTCGAGCCGGATGAATCCAGGATCTCTCTTAAATTATCGCCAAAAGTGACTGACAAAAATGTCACGTTACAACATGTATGTTTACAGGAATGGGAAGTAACTCATTACTTTTGTAACGAAGTTACAGCTAGAGTTACTTTTCTTCAGTAACTTCATTACTTTCTATTCATCTGTAATTATAACTTAACTTAATTACATCTTTTAAGTAACTAGTAACTAATTTAATAGTTACTTTTATAGTTATTTTATATATTTTAAATTTATTTGTCAATTTAGTATCTGGTAATGTCCACTTGGCGCTACAAATGCTTTGAAACATTTAATTAATCAGAAAAAATTAATTTAATTAATTAAATAAATATAAATTTAATTAAAGCGTTCATTGAACTCTTGTACCTGTTTGGTCTATATTTTTGAGTCTAATAGAATTTGAGTCTAAAAGAAAACACATAGTTGCGTATTTAAAAAATTATCCATTTTGTATTCATATTTTTTTTAAAGCAACTATGTGTTTTCTTTACACCATTTGATTTATCTCATTATTCTGTTCACAAAAGTATTAAAGTACGATAATCAAAAAGTCAACAGTTTACGAGTTATTTTGTGTCAATATGTACCAAAATAAAATGTAAAATATCTCGAAAACTATTGGTTTTTTGGTATCTCTACCTTAATACTTTTATATGCAAAATAATTAGAGGAATCACGTTATTTAAAAAAAATTACACAATTCCATTTAAAAAAGTGGAGGTGACCTTCATATCTTTTTAGCACCTCCACTTAGAAAAAAAACAACGTGACTAAAACGTGTCCCCCTCGACACCGTTCCATTTTTATTTGAAACATTTTTGTCTACTGGATTTAGTTTTCGAGATAATCAGCTGGAAAGTTTTCAAATGAACACCCTGTATATGCTTTCATATGTTTAACATTATTTTTGTTTTCATGTATCTTTTTATAACCAATTCAACAAAATTGAATATTGATACGTTTAATAAAGTAAGACGAGATTTCCTTTTATTTGAGACGTATGAGTTTTTTTAATAATAAATAGAAAGACAAATAATGATCATTAAATAAAGAAATAAAATAAATAAATAAATAATGTAGAAATAACTAGTACATAAAAAAATTCAGCTTATTTTACAGATTTATTTTTCATGAATTTGTAACAGTGCTCATCGATTGTCTCTGACTGTGAGTACGACAAAAATCTTTTTTGTATTATTTTGATAAATATCAAATACGTTTATAAATAATATGTGATAATATGATTATAATCTTTGTTATACATAAGCAGGTAAGCATGTATTATATATATATATATATATATACAAGTTACATTTAAAAATTTTTCAGTTTTTATCAGTATATGTCTTTATAGTCTCAAAGAATGTATATACGTTAAATAGTTGTATGCATTTTAACGATGGGAACAAATCTTACACGAAGCGGATGAGCAGGGCGTAACACTAAATCAACTTCCATTCGCAGGTCCTTTAAGTAATCAATGGGCTCCAAGTAGAAATTATGAATCAGAGAGGCTATTATTGCCTTCATCTCCAACATAGCAAATCGTTGGCCTGCAATGTATTATACATATATTTCAAATTGTTTATATAAAAAGATATTAAAAACCCAACTTACCAATGCAGTTACGTGGTCCAGCACTGAATGGTAAATATGAGTAAGGATGACGATTTCGAATTTTTTCAAACAAAAATCTGTCTGGATCAAATATCTCTGGATTTGGCCAAAAATTTGGATCCCTATGGAGTCCATAGATATTAAGATGCACAATTGTTTTAACAGGTATTATATACGACTCTGTGAAGTATATTTTATATTAATTAAAAAATTATTAATTAAAATACATACATCTTACTTAAAAAATAAAAAAAGTTTTTTTTTTCAAAAAAGTATTATGTAATGTTACAAAAACCAAACTATATTATAATATCATATTTTACAAATATTTGTATTAAATTTGATAATATTTAAAAAATATATTTATTTTACTTTGTAACATGTTAAAAAATATACGAAATATTATTTACATACGTAATTTTACATCTTCCGCTGTAATTCGTGATATGAAATAGACGCTGGGATACAAACGCAATGTTTCTTTTAAACATCTATCTAAATATGACAAGTTATGCAAGATATTTATAGTAAATTTCTTTCCATTTTCTTCCATAGCAGTCTTGATTTCATCTCTGACACGATTCTGTGTATCGGAATTGTTAATTGAAAGCGAATTTCTTACCATTCTATAATGCTCATTTAACGAAAGATACCTGAATATCCTTATGTTCAGCTAGTAATAAAAGAGCAAAACATATACCCTTTGCTGTAGTATCATGGCCCTGTAATTACAGTATACGTATCTCATTATGTATGGAGAAATAGAAAAATTTTAAAAAGATTACAGATACATAGAGAACAAAAGTTCGTGCATTTTTTTGCTGACATAGCAATATTCTAGATTTCTACAGTAGCGTGGCGTGTAGTAATGTATATATTATATAAGTCTAATGAATATTATTAGTACAATTTTAATCATTAATATTTGAGCATGCAAATTCTTGTGTCAATAATTGTGAGAGTAGTGTTTTTGCACTGTTGGAGAATAGAACGTGATGTTTTGATAAAATAGAGAATTAATCTTCTTATGAAACTTGTGAAGAATTGGATAGAAATATAATCAGATCATCTATAACATTTGATGAATTTTTGATCCATTCTTCCCGAATTTCACAAGAAATTTAATTCTCTGTTTTGTCAAAATATCACATTGCTCTTCTAACGGTGGCCAAAAAAAAACTACTTTCACTATTATTGACACAACAACTTATATGCCCTAATGTTAATGACAAAATTGTACTAAATCTGTTCATTAGACTTCGTACTACACGCCATTGCCCCTGTAGAAACCTACAGTATTGCTACGTCAGCAGAAAAAAAAGTCGGTGCACGAATTTTTTGTCCATACCACATACTCGTATATAAAATACCTCAAACATAAAAGTGTCCACTTCTTCTCTGATATCTAAATCAGTTAAGAGACCTTCTCGAGACGCCGCTATTAGAAGATCCAACAATGCAAGCCGCTTTTTCCGAACTAAAATTTATAAATTAATGTGTATAAACATGTTAATCTCTAAACAAATACATACTCTAGTACAATTCTATGATATTTTTATTAAGTGACATTAATTTTGTTTAAAATTTAAATTATATTATCATTAATAATATATAAAAATAATTTAAAATATTATATGCCAATTGAAATTGAAGAATAGATTCTAATGATTTTACGTACTTTTAATCGTTTCTACATCACTTGTCTCTGTCATTGTGTTACTATTAAAATTTTTTAAGTATTGATCATTTGTACATTCATGATAAAGTTTCCTTTCTGCAATAATCTAAATAATCATCATATTAATTTTTTTATTAATATAAATACACTAAGAACATATAAAAATATCATATAACAAATTTATATTAGACTTATAGAATTTTTATAGTATAATTTTACGTAATCTATTATAATGAGTTTAAACAAACATTAAAAAATCATTTTTGCATACTTGTTCAGTAAATCCGTGTAGTATTTTCAAAATCTTTGCTTGTTTTCTACCTTTTGGTATCAACGAGAAGATCCAATTATTTTGCAGCCATTGTCTCGTTAACCTAAATCATAATTATATTGAATGATAAATATATTATTTTAAAGAGATGACTGTATTGTTATGTGAAAGCTGTCTTTAATTTTATGAAATCCTTGTAGCATTATAACTGCTTGAAAAATATAATTTGCAATAAATAATAATTAAATTTATGCTAAAAGAATATATCGAAGGCTTTATATAAATATCATCTTTTTAAGACAATTTTGTTATTGGATAAAATATTTTTTAACTAACTTTATTAATTGGATAAAAATGCTGTACTTTTTCTTTTACGCATTTTTTGTTTACATTATGTTATTTAAATATTCAACATTTTACCGTAAACAATTTTTTAAGTTAACAATTTGATAGATTATATACGATAGGGTAGAACAGGGATAGTTGAGCCAAGAGGCAAGTTAGAACATGCAAATATCTCACAACTGAAGTTTTCTTAACTGAAACAATATCTTAGTAACTGGAGGAGGAAGGGAAAACGCATATAAACTCATCTATGCTTGCGTAAGATATAGCGCAGAGACATGGACTACTGAATATGATAATCTGTGTTCATCCGACATTCGTTTTTGTGCATTAAAAGTAAAATTAAAAGTGAAGTATTACGTAAGTATTCTTTTGATTTATATAATAATTGAAGCAACTAAACGTAGGTATTTTTAACATAACTAGCACATTCCTTGCGCGCGCTACACGCGCGATGGTCCATTATGCTCTTTTTAAATATTATGAATTATGTTTCTTTAAAACACTTGTTTTGAAATCAACAACTCCTCTAATTCCTACTAATACAAAATTTCCCTGAAATTTGAAAACCTATAGAATTTTATTATTGTTTTCGATCGCCACATTAATTCTACCATTTTGATAAACAATATTTAGCTTATTTTTTTATTCAACGTTTATGTCGAAAAATTCGACCCACAGTGTAGTTATGCTGGTTCGCGTACAAGAGTAAAGTACATTAAAGCAATCAATTGCCGGGATCATTTTGGTCTCAAAATGTTTCAAGAATTATTTGCTCTAAGAATATCCAGAATCCGATATTTTGCTCATCGTTTACGTCGAAAAATTCGACCCATAGTGTGGCTGTGCTGGGTCGCGTACAAGAATAAAGTACATTAAAGCAATCAATTGCCGGGATCATTTTGGTCGCAAAATGTTTCCAAAATTATTTGCTCTAAGAAAATCCAGAATCCGATATTTTGCTCATCGTTTACGGTATTTTTAACATAAATTATTAATATATTTTTTTAATGTTCATTTTTTATGTTGCTATTGTATATATTTATAGTTTCTTAGTTATATTAAAAAAATATTTTAATCGATATAAGACTAGTTAAACCAAGTGTTCACCAAGATATATCGCAATTGCTTATGATAATTATAAGTTACCTGTACATGATAATTTCGCCCATTTGGTAAACCGCTTTTCGATATCGTTGTTGGAACGCACCTTGGTTTTGTAAAGAAGTGCCCATAGCAGTTTCTACAAATGTAATTTGTTAAGATCCTATAACGTAATCAATTATTTTAACAATATTTTACCCTGTATAATATGTAAATAGATATTATAATTTTATTAATTTATATATTAATATATTGCATTACATCTATTAATTAATATTTCGTGTTTTATCTTTTATCCCAAATAAAATCGTAAATAAAAATGAGATACAATACCGCATACTGCATTCAGCGTATGTTCACTAATAAACGGTATTAAATCTCTTACAACAGTGCCTCCTGAATTCTTTAAAGATTTTGTCATATTTTCGCCCTCCTCGATCAAAATTTCAACAAAATGCTGTAATATATTAAAATGAAATGCTGGAGTTAATATCTTTCGTCGAAATTGCCACTTAGCGCCTAAAACATAGAGAATAACATAAAAAATTGTAGTTCAATTATTAAATTTGAACATATAATATAATACATATATATTACATATAGAAAACCTTGCTTTCCAACATAAATTTCTAATTAATTAATTTTTACTTAGCATTAATTGATTTAAGTTTGTCTCTTCTTTCGTGTGTTCTGACGAAATTTCTCAGTTATTACTTAATAAACATACTAATAAACAAATAACATTTTTAATATTTTCATTATTTTTGTAGAATGCTTAGTCAATAAAGATTTATGTATTATACATAATTGATATCATATTATTAAAGTTTTATTAATTGACAAAAAATTTATTATAAAAAAAGAATCTATAATATATGATGTTTGATTACTTTCACGTAATTAAGTTTATATGTAAAGTATAACAAAATTATTCTTGAAATGTATGCTTGTACACATATATATTCTCTTTACTAAATAAATTTAATCAAAATTTTAATAAACTTTACTGAATGTACATATATATTTTCTGAATAAATAATAATCAAAAAAAGTTGATATTAAAAATAATATTTAGCTCAGTTATAAAGTTTTAATTGTTTATATAATTGGAATTTTCTAGAATTAGAGCAGAATATAATAATAAAATACATATACATTACAAATGTTATACTCTTTCTCACACGTATTATTTTACCTCCACTAGTGAGAAGACCCGTATTGAACCAAGGAAGTAAAATATCATAAATCATACTCTTATTGATATGTTTCATGTTATTTAATATTGCCTGAAATTACAGATGATGAATTAAACATCATTTAACTTAATTTTAATTAATTTATACTTAGAATATCTCAGACATTTTATCACTTTTAAATAATCGGTTTTCATGAATATTTTTTTATTTTATTACCTCCATATCATCCGGATGACGAATAGATACAAAGGCCGTAAAAAATCCCCAAATTTTACAAATCGGATAATATTGATCAGTTATTGTAATCAGAAGTTCCCAGAGATTTTCTAAGAAATACATATATGTATTATAAATTAATTAATTTAGAAAAATTCAATGATAAATATTAGTGATGTTTGTAACATATACATATAGGTATGTACATATGTATGTGTGTAACTAATTAATTTTTTCTAAGTAATGATACTTCATGTATTTCCTTATTTATCACAGTTTGTTTTCTAATGTACCTAAAAAAAAATTAAAATACAAATTATGTACATGCAGTGAGTCATATAATTTGAACCGTTTTATCGAGATGCATTGTGAGCAAGTATCTAACTACAATTTAAAAAACAAATGTTATTACTTAAAAAGATACTGATAACTTTATGTTATTATTAAACACACAATAATATTGATAATTCCATATTTTAAAGTTAGGTAATTAATAGAAACGATAAAATTGTCCATCTACCTAGTGAACCTTGCAGTAACAATATATGACCAATAATTGGATATCCTGGTGGTCCCGGTATACGATTGATAAGGCGCCCATTTCGTCCATAATGCACGTAATAATTATACATTAATATAATAAGAATAATCAGTATCAATGTGATAACGACCATTGTTGATGTGATTAATTATTATAAATATAATTAATATCAGTTTTCTTCAATTTTCTGCTTAATACTTGATTCACACTAACTAAAGTATGTGATATTTGCTTCAAATTAAATTGTTATACTGTTGCTTCAGTGTCCTAAATATTTGTAATAAGTAAAATATATTAATTGTCAATAAAGAAATTTTAAATAAAAATAAAATTTTTTAAATATATAACTGATATAGAATATAATGTATTCAAATTAAAATAAAAATAGTATTGTGATTCTCTAAGAAATAATCAAATTCACACTCTGCCAAAGAAAAATGGATATCTATAACAGAGGACTAGGAAAAATTTAAAAAAGTTTAAACGCTTGTAATATATTAAATAACTATGATACAAAAGTGCTTAAAAACAAAAATAAGGCTTAAATTATTTTGAGAAATTTTTAATGCTAATTGAGCGGGATAATTGATTTTCCAATAGAGGATGATAGAGTGAGAATCTGCAAAATTAAGAAATAAAAAGTTTAGTTTCCGGAGTTGCATGGAGTGAGACAGTTGATGTAGTGCAATGCAATAAAAAGAACATAAAAGTTCAAAGTCTTTCCTTCAAAAATTGTGGAACTCAATACTACAATTTTTCACTGAATTACGTTAATCTGAAAAGAAAAAAAAATAGTTTGTATACGAAGTAATGATAAATTTTAATTTGTAATGTCATCAATTAAAACCATTGCAATTCTGCTTAAGACGTATCAGGTTGATTATTTTACATTACATCTTTTATTTTACATATGTGTGTGTGTGTGTGTATGTGTGTGTGTGTGTGTGTGTGTGTGTGAGAGAGAGAGAGAGAGAGAGAGATAAAAGGAAAGCAGTAGACTATTTGAATCTGCGTGGAACTGACAATTTTTCCAAGCTTTAGCCTCTTTAAATACACGTACATACACATACAACTGTGTATAGCCAAAGTGGATTTGTATATAAACTGAAAAATTTCATTGTTCCTTTTTTGTAATAAGAAAATGTATGTGTGCGCGCGTACACACGCATACATGCACATGCACATGCACACTGATTTGATTGCAAACAATCAACGCGATATGTTTTGAACAGAATTGTAATGGTTGAACTGATAGTCTATATCGTGTATCTTGAAACACAAAAAAAAGGATGGATAAGTGAGCAGATTAGCTAAAATGTTTATAATTTTATCATTGCATACTTAGTGAATTGATTACTTATGTAATTTTTATCTCATTTCAAAATATACATTGGATCCCTGATTACGACACCATTACAAATTACAATTTATTATTATTTTATAAGAAAATATATTTTCCTTCAAATTGACATAACTTAACAAAAAATTATCATATTAAGAGTTTTAGAATAGTACATTTTAAAAAGGAAGTTTTGAACCTTCTTGAACGCTTTATACGCTTTTCATCGCATTGAGTTACGTTAACTGCTTTATTCAGTGCAACTCCAGAAACTAGACTTTCCATTTATCAATTTTACATGCAAATCCTTATTCTATCATCCACCACTGGAAAATTAATTGTTCGATTCAATCAGCATTAAAAATTTCTTAAAACACAAATTCCAAGGTTTATTTTTTAAACACTTCTGTATCATAATTATTTAAACTATATTTAAACATTTTTTAATTTTATTTTTTTATTTCCTCATTATTATTTTTTTATTTCCTCATTTTTCTGCTATATTCCTTTCTTGTAGGCGAAATGTGTAAGTATAAATTGCTTACATTAAAAAAAATTTACTATATCTAAATAAATATTTCTTTGGATATCTATAAGTAAACATTTATTGAATGTTAACATATATTTATTTGATACAAAAATTATTAATTTGATTTAACTATCATTCTTCTCATCGAGTAAATCTTTATTTACTATGTGTAAATGTTTATTTACAAATAGTATAGTTTAACAAATATTTATTAAGGTATATTATAGGAGTCTCCGTATATGGTTGTTAATATATTAATACTATATTTATAAGATAATAAGATATAAACCAGAAATCTCATTATAATAAAGGACCGATGAGAGTGCAACATTATTGTTGCAACGTAAGTAATAAAAAGTGAATTTTCTCGAATCACAATTTCATTCCATCCAAATAACAATATCAGTACTTTTTGACTCACTTTAGAATCTTCTTCAGCCAATACAATTTATCATTAGAAATAAGACGAAAATAAGATTCACAAGACAATGTATTAGTAACAACATATTACCGCAAAACATCTTAATTATATGTATTAATAACAGAAAGATTAATTAATTTTATTTTAGATCTGTACTAAAATACAATCGTTTTAAATATCAATATATACGTAAAATATTAAATGTAGAGTTAAACGACGTGTATAGGAAGCTTAAGTATTCACAAAATGAAATTTTCTGGCTTAGAAGACAGATACATAAATATGTACCGATAGGCATTTGTAGTAACTTTTGTTAAACAGGAAAAAGCTTTTTGACGTAACTTTAATGACAAAATTAACAATTAATAAAAAATTGGAATGGCTAACAATAAAAAAAAATAAATAAAAGATCAATATTGCGCCAATTAAATATTTTTACAGCATTGAAAATGAAAAGAATTTAAACAATAACAATAAATATATTCTTTGTAATAATTTTAGAAGTAACGACCAACAAAATGTTGAGAAAATTGACATCCAAGTAAAAAGTTTGAAAATTTAACTGCGAATTTTTCATTAGAGAATATTAAGAAAGGTTGGTTTTTTAACTTATCAAGTGTAACGATCCCCAGAGATATGTAATATTTGCTACAATTAGGGGAGAATTTCTCTGTTCTCATTACCAACAAGAAAACATCATTGTCTGAATTCATTAAATGTATAGAAATTAACATGAAAAAATTTATTAATGAACAGATAAACCATATTAGAGACACCTCTTCAACTATTTTGAAAAAATATTTGTCATTTTCGTTGCCGAAAAATGAGCTCAATAGTAAAATTATTAAATTAATTAAAAAAGTAAAAAATTTTTTTTAATGTAACCCTGTTTGGTCCTCACGAAAGCAGATAAGGGAAAACATTACGATTGCATTAGATAAAACAAATTATGACATAAAAGTTCTACAAATGCTTGAAGACAAAGAAACTTACACTAAGCTAAACAAAGATCCGATCAACAAATTAACCAACAAATTAACCAACAGAATTTGAGTCTTCTTTAGTACGTACAGTCAAGTACAAACTGTAATGAGTGCAACGAAGCACTGGTTATAAATATCTTCCCCCTCTTTCACTTAATGTATTCATTCATTCTAATAAATATCAATGAAATAAAGTCATAAATTTAATAGAAAATTTTTAAATTAATTTTTCACTTGTTTGATAGTGCTTGCAACCCAAAAACAGTTGCACTTTAAAAAATATTTTTAAATTATTTCTAATTAAATACACAGAAAGAATTATTCCCTAAAATTTATCCTGAAAATATGGTACCGTAGGACATTATATTTTAAAGAATTTTTATATAAATCTCTCACATTCATTAATAAAAACTATAATAAAATATAAAATAAGTTCGATTAATTTTATTGAAGTGCATGGTAAATATCTTTAAAATATTATACTGTATTATAACTACTATACATATATATATATTTTCAGTGTAATTTTTAAGAAATAATTCTTTCCGTGTATTTATATTATAATTACGTAATATTTTTTTAATTTTATATTTTGAACTTAATTTATGAATTTAATCTATAAATATTATAAATACGCCAATAGTTCATTATTATAATTTTTATACATAGCATAATTGATGACTATTTAATCGCTTCAAAGTTTAAGTCTTCTCAGATAATTTATTTTTAACAACATTTTTATCAGATATTCTCATGTTTATAAGAGCAACGTTGATAAACGAAGGTTATCGTTATAATGATTAAGGAGACATTATACAGACTGCAGTTTAAATGTTACATAAAAGTCAACAATAAATCTATGTATAATAATTTCTATTGTAAACATGAGAATAATTGTTTATTCTCTTTTATAATGCCGTCTTTTATGAAAATTAACATAAATATTGTTCACACAATATACGTTAGGTATAACATTAATAAATATTAATTATTAACTACATATTTTATTTTTTATTATAGAATACTTATTAAACTTTTTTAGAAAATTATCTATATATTATCATTTAAGTTTAATATTTTTAGATATATTCTTATATTATTTGTATATATTTATATACCATAATATTTTTTTTTTATTTTTGCAACATATTTAATTCTTAGAATGTAAACTATTTTTTAATGTTTCTGTTTTGTAACGATTGAAATAAATTTTACGCGATGTGGATTAATAGGCCGAAGCAGTAGATCAGCTCCTAATCGTACATTTTTCAAGTAATCAATAGGCTTCAAGTAGAAATTATAAATCAAAGTGGCTATCATTGCCTTCATCTCCAACAAAGCAAATCGTTGACCTACAATTACACACACACACACACACACACACACACACACACACACACACATATATATAATTATTGCAATCTATTTATGTATAAAAGAATATCAATATACAATTTACCGATGCAGTTACGTGATCCAGCACTGAATGGTAAATACGAGTAAGGATGACGGTTTCGGATATTCTCAGGCAAAAATCTATCTGGATCGAATATCTCTGGATTTGACCAAAAATTAGGATCTCTATGGACTCCGTAAATATTAAGATGCAGTATCGTTTTTACAGGTAGTAAATATGACTCTAAAAACAGGAAAACGCAATAGACAAATATCAATCGAAAGCTTTATTAAAATTTGAAAAATAAACATCTGTTTGATTTAACCCAAACTAGGTACATACAATTAACTTTAGGAATATTGCTTATTTAAAAATCTTGTCTTATTCAATGAAATAAGAAAAATATGCATTTTAAATATTAAAAAGAAAAAATGTTATTTTATATATTCTTATAATATATTTATA